CTCCCCCAACCCTTCAAGCCACTCGGGCCCCCGCCGCCCCGCCTTCCCCCTCTTCCCCCTTCCCCCTCTTCCCCCTTCCCCCTCTTCCCCCTTCCCCCTCTTCCCCCTTCCCCCTCTTCCCCCTTCCCCCTCTTCCCCCTTCCCCCTCTTCCCCCTTCCCCCTCTTCCCCCTTCCCCCTCTTCCCCCTTCCCCCTCGTCCCCCTTCCCCCTCTTCCCCCTATAGCTTCGACACGGGCTGCACCCGCTGCTGCTGCTGCATCAACTGCTGCCGCGGCACGCCGTAGTCCGTGGCAGTCGGTTGTACGGCATCCGTGTCGTGCTCGTCCAGCCACGCCGTCAGCAGCGGAAACACCTCCTGCTCCACCCGCCGGCCCATCAGGATGTCGAAGTGGCCGTAATGGTCCCGGGTGCCGTACGCGGGACCTATCTCCACGAACCGCGCGCAGCGGGAGCCCGTGAACAGGGCGCAAGTCGCGGCGGCGCCCTGCGCTCGCGCATATGCATGTTGTATGTATGTAGGTAGGTAGGTAGGAGGGGATGGTTGGAAGGAGGGAAAGGGATGGTGCGGGGGGCGCGATCCCCGTGTCGGGACATGGTTGATACATTATCCAAGCGCGCACAATCTGTATCTGTGTTTGTGTATGTGCAATCTGTATGTGTGTATGTATGTGCACCCTCCTGACGGCGGTGGTAGTGGTGGTGACGACGGGGCCCCCCCGGGGGAGGGGGGGGGGGAAAGCGGGGATTGTAAATGGTGATGCACGGTGGCGACCCGGAGTTCCCTTGCCGATGTAGCAACCGACCAACCCGTGTGTGTGTGTGTGTGTGTGTGTGTGTGTGTGTGTGTGTGTGTGTGTGTGTACAGCGACCAGCCCAGCATTTGAGTTTGAATTTAACATCCCGCCCAACCCCGGAGTGGAGGTTGGGTCGTCAGGAAGCCCTTCATGCCCCCCCCGGGGGATGTCAGCTCGCTTCACACGATCTGTGCTGTGTGTGTGCCGTAGCAAATCAGATTGTGTGATCTCCCCAAGCCCCCCCCCCGCCCCCCCCGCCACCCCCCCGCCACCCAACCGCCACGCAGTGCAGCCCCCCCGGTGTGTAGCTGCCAGCCATAACCCTCCCCCACCCCTCCCCCTCACCTGGGGGGGACACATTCGGTCCCTGTCACCGCACATGAACAGTACGGGAGTGGTTACTCGGGACAGCCGTACAGGGTCCGCGTACGCCTCCGTACCGTCAGATGTACGCAGGCCTCGCCGACCGAAGGCACTGCTGAATTGAATAATTACCTGGTACGGCATGTACGGCATGTACGGCCGGGAGGCGAGGTAAGGTTGGAAATGTGCC